AGTGGGACCCCAAGCACAAAAAATGTAGGACTTCCAGATCACTTTGAATATGTTAAGCCATTTTGCTGCACTTATGCAGTTGCAATTATGATGTATATGAGCAGAGTAAGGGTTGGGGTCAGTTGGAGTTTTGAACAGAGAAAAAGCTTATTCAGGAAAATGGTAATATGTCCCACACTGTAACCATAAAAGTGATTGAAAAGATTTGAAATATAATTTCAAAAACCCTTCATCATCAGACCATTATGCTCTTTTCTTCCAGATTCACTCCACTCCCCCCCCCCCCATAAGAAAATATTTATTGTATGTGACAAACATGTATAGGCCTACAGGTAAATACTTCCATTTCAACTAAAGTAAACAATATCTTTAGTAATTTTAATTCCTAAACTACATTTTAACTGTTATGACACACATTTTAACAAAACATATCTTCCTTTTGGTTACGATTTTTTAATTATAAAAAGCGGCATCGCGAAAATATGTGACAATTGAAAATTTGTCTGCTTCCTGCAGAAACATTCACAAATCTACCTGTTGTTGATTTTGATTATATTAAATTAAATATTTTTTCATTATTTTAAGATTGTTACAAATCGGCTATTTCAACAGGAATCGTATAACAAAATTTTCAAATTTGTATTTTACGGCAAAATTTACCGTTGTTGATGAAACTTTTTGAAGACAGAGTTGACTGGTATTTATTTGACATGTCTACAAAATAGAGTTAAGGTTGGTCAATATCTTATTTAATAAATTCTTTGCATCACGGGGTACTTGTTATCAATCAGGTCATTAATATTTTTAACTTTTTGAAATTTTATTCGGACATGAGGACTGACGGAAAGGAAATTTATCTCGGACCGCATGATTTTTATTCGGCCAGGACCGAGGACCGACGGACTTTCGCACAGACTGTTAGTAAGCAGTGTCAATCCCTTAAGAAAGATACCAGGGCAGACCTTTAATTGATAACAACACAAAGATAGGTATGAAACAATAGATCCTGTGCTTTTTAACAGTTCTACAATAATCCTTCCAGAAAGCTAATTTTTATGCCAAAAGACAGATCCGAAGTCATTCTTACTTTGGACTTCAACTATTAAATGTTAAACAACTGTTTAAAACTGTCTTTTCCATTATATTCAAGGTATTACTTGTGATATTTTTATATTTTCTAAAGAACAATTTAGAATACTTTCATTAAATAGGATATTCAATTTTCTAAATATATGTATTTTATTTATTATTGTGTAAATTTTATCATTTGAATATGCAACTGTGTTATATAGTAATTTCTACTTTTGTAATAATTAAATTGTTATTTTTTAGGTAGTCATTTTTAGTGAAAAAAGTTATAATAGATCATTATTGAATCCAAGGATTGCTTACCATATTATTTAACTATTTTGTATTTACTTTAATTTTGTGCATTTTGTAATTTCTGTCTTTATAACATTTTATGATTTATCTACAAAAAAGGACTGCAATGAAAGTTGTAAAACATTTTCTTGTTAAATGTGTCAAGTTGATTTTTCAAAAAATGAATAAGATTTACATATCAAGTGAATGATTACAAAAAAATTGTAAAGATCACTGTTTTATTTTTTTCTTAACAAAAGGACAGTTTTGAGTTACATGAATAAACACTTTTATATAAGTTTGCAATTTGCAATTTACACTAGTATACAAAGTTGTTTAGTTTAAGTAATTACATTGTACCTTTCAATAGTTAATGCGAGTTATTATATTGTATTAAATGAACACTTATTATTTTCCCCATTATTATTAAATATACATTTATTGCAGTCTGCAAATATAAGAACATATGTTGTGATATGTTTTTATTATGTTTAAAAACTATTATGTTTTCAAATTGTATTTTATATTTGCAACTGTATTTCATTTTTACTTTTGGCTTCAACAATTAAATGTTAAACAACTGTTTAAAACTGTCTTTTTTTATCTATTCCAGAATGTCAGCCTAAAGGCCTCTCACCTAAAACCCTAGATGTAACCAATTGCCAAACTCACCTCTCAAACAAGTCACCCTGTAAAACCAGAGTGTAAAAGACATAAAAACATACCATTTTGAGCGGGGAAATTGGGTCAAATTTGCCGAGTCTTTTGGTAAAAAACAAAACAAAACACTGATGTACATATCATGATAGTCAGTAACACACAATTTAGAGGCCATCTGCACCTGTTTTCCTTTTTTATTTCGTGATTAAAAACGGCTGATTAAAAACTACACTGTACAATTATGCTTATCTTATCAATAGCAAACCTATTTCAATAATTTTTTCTTACCTCACCATAGAACTGAACTTCCAATGTTAGCCTCAAGTCATTCAGTTCTTTTATTTCATCCATACCTGTGGACAAAATGTGATTCCTGTCAACAATTATGTAATTTGTACTACAGTCAGCACATGTAAGACCAGACTCCAAGTCTTCCTCTTCTAAATCAAGCTTTCTTCCTGTAACAATCTTTGTCTGCAAAAATCTTAAACCATGAATCGGATCTGTTATTTCCTGCAAACTTATACCTTCTATATAGGATTCTGTAATTTTTAGGATTTCTGACTGTTCATTTTGTTGGTGATTCTCAATTCCAGAAAAGGTGCTAGCTGTTTCTGTAGGACTGTCAACTTGTTGAGTACTTTTCTCTGTACGGTGTCACTAAGATCAGCAGAGAAAAACTCTAAATTATTTAGGTCAAGAGGCATATTTATTTCAAAAGGTGTTTCAAAAAATGGGTCCTTGTTAACAACTTCATTGTCAGTAGGATTATCAGTTTTTAAGCAGGTATTTGCATGCTCCCGTAAGTCCCTAACATTGAATTCAACACCACAGATCATACATGGAAACTTTATATTGGATGTATTTGCCTCCTCGTTTTCAGACTGTAACTCCAGGGAGGTTTGAATGGGTCTAATGTATATTTTACTCTGTCCACCAACAACAGTTTTCAAGCTTTTTACATCCCAGCTTACATCTATTTTTGAAAGATTTCTACAGTTAGATCTACAATGCAAGAGTTCATAACCGCCACAGCTTTCAAGTTTTTTAAAACCACTTTCACCAGTAATAACAGAATCTACTTCTGATTCAGATGCTTCAGAATCAAAAGTAATTTTTTTAACACCTAATCCTGCCCTTTGTAGGCAAACTTTTTCCTCTTGACATGGAACCTTGGTTTGGTTATGATCTGCCAAACATACGAATGTTCCTGTCCAAGTTTTACGTCTAGCTGGCTTCTTTCTGCTGAATCTTGACCGGCTTGCCAAAAAAGCTCTACTGTCACCTAAAAATAAAATTGAAAACATAATTTGGAAACTTATTGATATATCAAAGCAGTTCCTTTGGAATAAAATTAAGAACTTTTATGGTTAATCACTTTTAAATTAAACACAGTTGTAAATGTTACTTTTACTAAATGAAACTAGAACTATTACTAAATGGGATTAATACCCCTGCAAGACTGCTTCGGAAATGAGGAAGTTACTAGTAACAGAATACCTTGCAAAAGAACTGAAATAGAGTTATGGTTGTGGGCAATTAAAGATAGTTGTGGTTCTTACATTTGCATTTCCTTTCAATGTGGTTGACCATTGATGAAGCTTTATTTAATTACTCTGTTATAGGCTCAAAAAGAGTTAGGCTTCTTGAGCACTGCACTCTTTCATTGCGCTTGACCATTGTATGAAGTTGTATTGAATTCCAACTACTAGTTTTCAAGTTATGCACTGGACAAAAAAAGTAACAAAGGGCAATAACTGTAATGAGTCCAAATAGTTATGGTTCTTGTGCACTGCACTTTATCTCACTGCCCTTGACCATTGTATGAAGTTTCTTTAAATTCCAAACATTAATTTTCAATTTATGCACTGGACAATAAATAGTAACAAAGGGCAAAAACTCTTAAATGAGTCAAAAAATAGTTATTGTTTCTGTGCACTACACTATCTCGCAATATACTTGACCATTGTATGAAATTGTATTGAATTTCAACTAGTAGTTTTCAAGTTATGCTCTGGAAAAGAAAAAGCAATGGAAAATTAACAAAGGGCAATCACTCTATAATTACTCTGGACAGAATTATGGTTCTTGTGCACTTCACTTCCTCTTAATGTGCTTGACCATTGCATAAAGTTGTATTGAATTCAAACTAGTAAGTTTCAAGTTATGCTCCAGACAAGGAAAAGTAACAAAGGGCAAAAGCTCTGTAATTCAAATTAGTCAAGATGGAGTTCTTGTGCACTGAATTTCCTCTCAATGTCCTTGATTATTGTATGAAGTTGTATTGAATTCTAACAACAAGTCTTCAAGTTATATACCCTAGACAAAAAAGCAATGAACTAGAAATGTGTCCATAGGACACGGATGCCCCCACACGCCACTGTTCTGTCAATCTTATGACTCTAGGTCAAATATTTTTTGGACTACATGTGCCACAAGTTGAAAACTAAAAATCAACAAAGGGCCATAATTCTGTTAAATTTGGTCGCAGCAAAAATTCCTACCTTTACTACCATCTACACATTAAGGTTGTTAATCCCTGGAAGTTTAAGCAAAATCTGCCATCCGGTTTTAGTTCACAAAATTTCTACATAGTAGATAATGAAAAAATCAACAAAGGGCCATAATTCTGTTAAATTTGGTTGCAGCGAAAATTCCTTCCTTTACTACCATCTACACATAAAGGTTGTTCATCCTTGGAAGTTTAAGCAAAATCTGCCATCCGGATTAAGAGGAGTTGCATTCACAAAATTTCTATATAGTATATAGTGAAAAAATCAACAAAGGGCCATAATTCTAAAAATTTGGTCGCAGCAAAAATTCCTTCCTTTACTACCATCTTCACCTTAAGGTTGTTCATCCCTGTAAGTTTAAGCAAAATCTGCCATGCGGTTTAAGAGGAGTTGCGTTCACAAAATTTCTACATAGTATATAGTGAAAAAATCAACAAAGGGCCATAATTCTGTTAAATTTGGTCGCAGCAAAAATTCCTTCCTTTACTACCATCTACACATTAAGGTTGTTCATCCCTGTAAGTTTAAGCAAAATCTGCCATGCGGTTTAAGAGGAGTTGCATTCACAAAATTTCTACATAGTATATAGTGAAAAAATCAAACAAAGAGCCATAATTCTGTTAAATTTGGTCACAGCAAAAATTCCTTCCTTTACTACCATCTACACATTAAGGTTGTTCATCCCTGTAAGTTTAAGCAAAATCTGCCATCCGGTTTAAGAGGAGTTGCGTTCACAAGATTTCGGGACGTACGGACGGACGGACTGACGGACGGACAGACAAGTGCAACGCTGTATGCTCCCACAATGTGGAGGCATAAAAATTAACAAAGGGCAATAACTGTAATTACTTTAGTTAGAGTTATGGTTCTTAAGCACTGCACTTCCCATTATTGTGCTTGCCCATTGTATGAAGTTGCATTAAATTCCAACCATTAGTCTTCAAGTTATGCTCCAGACAAGGAAAATGCAAGGGACAGCTGGATGGAACAACCGACCGACCAACCATTGAGTGACTCCTATATACCCCCCCCCCCCCAATTATAATTTTAAGATTCCCCTGATATTTCCTAATTGAACATAACAATATTATGCAATGAATTACCGTTGATGTTCAATATATTTTAGACGTGATGTTTTTCAAGTAAAAAATGTAAGTGAACAGGTAGATAATTCTTGCAATATTGGTACTAGAGTTATGAACCTTTTCACATAAGATGTGGTTAATGATAAGGAACATACATTTGAAGTATTAAGTTAATCCCATAAGAAACAAGAGGGCCATGATGGCCCTGAAATCGCTCACCTGTATATAGGCACCCAGGGCGGGCTAATTTTAACCCACGGGCTTTTATTTGAACAAACTTGGTAGATCCCCATTTGAAGATGTTTCATGATAAATATCTAAGCTCTAGCTCTAAGAAAATCTTTAAGTTTTTACTAAACACATATAGTGAAAAACAATGACCCACACCATCTGTGCGGGCCAATTTTGTCCCCAGGGCTTTTATTTGAACAAACTTGGTAAACACACACTAGAAGATAATTTATGCTTAATATCTAAACTCTATCTCTTTGGGCTTTTTAACAGAACATTTTTTCAGATTTTACTATATACATAAAAGGAAAATCAATGATCCCCGGGCCGGGCCAATTTTTTAACCCCAGGGCCCTTAATTTAACAAAAATGGTAGACACCCATTAGAAGATGTTTCATGCTAAATATCTTAGCTCTAGCTTTTAAGATTTTTTAAAAGAAGATTTTTTATGTTTTAACTATATACATAAAAGGAAAAACAATGACCCCCTGGGGCGGGGCCAATTTTGACCCCAGGGCTTTTATTTGAACAAACTTGTTAGACACCCACTAGAAGAGGTTTCATGCTTAATAGCTAAGCTCTAGCTCTTTGGGTTTTTTAAAAGAAGATTTTCTAAGTTTTTACTATATGCATATAGGGTAAATCAATGACCCCCTGGGGCGGGGCCAAATTTGACCACAAGGCTTTTATTTGAACAAACTTGGTAGACACCCATTAGAGGATGTTTCATGCTAAATATCTTAGCTCTAGCTCTTTGGGTTCTTTAAAAGAAGATTTTTTAAGGTTTTACTATATGCATATAGGGAAAATCAATGACCCCCTGGGGCCGGGCCAATTTTGACCCCAGGGCTTTAATTTGAACAAACTTGGTAGACACTGACTAGAAGATGTTTCATGCCATATATTTAAGCTCTAGCTCTTTGGGTTTTTTAAAAGAAGATTTTTAAGGTTTTACTATATGCATATAGGGTAAATCAATGACCCCCTGGGGCGGTGCCAATTTTGACCCCAGGGCTTTTATTTGAACAAACTTGGTAGACACCCATTAGAGGATGTTTCATGCTAAATATCTTAGCTCTAGCTCTTTGGGTTCTTTAAAAGAAGATTTTTTTAAGGTTTTACTATATGCATATAGGGTAAATTAATGACCCCCTGGGGCGGGGCCAATTTTGACCCCAGGGCTTTTATTTGAACAAACTTGGTAGACACTGACTAGAAGATGTTTCATGCAAAATATCTAAGCTCTACCTCTTTGGGTTTTTTAAAAGAAGATTTTTTAAGGTTTCATGCTAAATATCTTAGCTCTAGCTCTTTGGGTTCTTTAAAAGATTTTTTAAGGTTTTACAATATGCATATAGGGAAAATCAAACTTGGTAGACACCCATTAGAGCATGTTTCATGCTAAATATTTGAACAAACTTGGTACACACTGACTAGATGATGTTTCATGCCAAATATCTAAGCTCTAGCTCTATGGGTTATTTAAAAGAAGATTTTTTAAGGTTTTACTATATGCATATAGGGAAAATCAATGACCCCCTGGGGCGGGGCCAATTTTGACCCCAGGGCTTTTATTTGAACAAACTTGGTAGACACTGACTAGATGATGTTTCATGCCAAATATCTAAGCTCTAGCTCTTTGGGTTTTTTAAAAGAAGATATTTTAAGTTTTTTCTTTCGGTTGCCATGGCAACCAGAGTTCTGCATGGAATAAAATTCTTTGAACAATTTTTAAAGGTGACCACCAAAGGAACATTCCTGTGAAGTTTGGATGAAATTGGCCTAGTGGTTTATGAGGAGATGTCATTTAAAGTAAAAGTTTACGGACGACTGACGGACGGACGCCGGACGAAAAGCGATCACAAAAGCTCACCCTGTCACTTTGTGACAGGTGAGCTAATAAAAAAGTTATAGTAAATAAGAGGGCCATCATGGCCCTGAATCGCTCATCTGTAAATTCTTTGAACAATTTTTTCAAGTTGACTACCAAAGGATAGCAGTTTATAAGGAGATGTTTAAAGTAAAAGTTTACGGACAGGTGCTGGATGAACAGGAATCACAAAAGCTCACCATGTCACTTTGTGACAGGTGAGCTAACAAGAACTGACAGTAACGCTCGACTATTCGAAAATTTGTCACAAGGGTGTTTCATTGAGTATAATAATGCTTACCTATATGAATACATAAAATTGTCCGAAAAGGTACAAACTCTTCAAGTTTCAATACATTCCCTTCAGTAGTTATGGAGATACAAGCTTACATGCAAAAACTTAACCAAGAATTCATGAGTCGAAAAAGGGGCATAATTATGCAAAAAAGCAAATCAGAGTAATGGGACTTGTACCAATCATCTTAGATAATCACAGAGACCAAGTGTGTGAAGTTTCAATCCATTCCCTCTAGTAGTAATGGAGATACCAGCTTACACGCAAAAACTTAACCAAGAATTTCTAAG